TATATATACAAGACGCTTAATTTTGGAGCTCTTGCAATTTCGTGATAATATTACGAAACGAGGTTGAATTATTTTTCGACTTTTTAAATTGTCTTCCAGGGAGAAAGTTGTTGGTACCGTTTTTATACTCGATTATCACACACATAAAAAACACGAGCTTATATATACGTATCTTACATATGTGAATGTGAATGCATTTGAAAGATAATTATTTTTTTTTTCATTCAAATAATTTTTAAAATATTCTTTCTAATTCTAAATTAGTTCAAAGTCGTTCACTGATTTCGATTAATGTAATAGTACAAATTGTAGTTGATTTCAAATTACTAATATTTTCTTTATTTTTTACCACAATTTTGACTATAATTATTACCATAATTATTACTATATTTTTACTACATTTCTTAGATAGTAAAACTTTATAGTAAAAATCACAATTAAATTTCTATAGTAAAAATATAGAAAAAATATAAAAATAATGTGGTACAAATATAGTAAAGTTTTAGGAAAAATATGAAAGTAGTGTAGTACAAATATAGTAAAATTTTAAGAAATATATAGTCAAATATACACAAGAAATGGATAGTAAAACAATATAATAAAAATATAGTCAAATTTTTTATAAAAATATAAAAAAAATGTAGTAAAACTGTGAAGTTAAAAATATAGTCAAAATTTTAGTAAAAATATAGTAAAAAATATAGTAAAAAATATAGTAAAATACATAAAAGAAATGGTAGTAAAAATATATATTTTGGTATTTAAACTATTTTGGTCAAAATAATATAGTAAAAAATACACAAAATTTAGTCAAATTATAGTAAAAAAAATAGTAAAATATATACAAGAAATTGATAGTAAAACTTTAAAGTAAAAATCACAATAATTATATTTTTAGTAAAAATATAGAAAAAATATGAAAATAAGGTATTACAAATATAGTAAAAAAATTGTCAAATATACACAAGAAATAGATAGTAAAACTATATAGTAAAAATACAGTCAAATTTTCAGTAAAAATATAGTCAAAAATATAAAAAATTTAGTAAAAATGAAGTAAAAAAATAGTAAAATATTTACAAGAAATGGATAGTAAAATTATAATAAAAAAACTATAGTAAAAAATACAGTAAAATTTGTAGTAGAAATATGATAAAAATATTGTGAAAATGTAGTGAAAAATATAGTAAAAATGTAGTGAAAAATATGGTAAAAAATACAGTAAAAATTATATTAAAGACATATAATAAAAAAACATTATAAAAAACTACATAAAAAATGTACTAAAACAAATTAAAAATAATTCTAATTAGCCATTGTCATAACAATGTAATCAAAATGACTGACAATTTTTTTATATATATGTATATGTATATTCTTCAATTGTTAACCTTGTTTTGTTTAATTTTTTTTCATTACACTACTTCCCAAGCGATCATGCGGATGAACATCCTGATGTGCATGAATGCATGACCACATTTAGCCGAGCTGAAAAAATAAGGATTGTAATCATTAAAGTTTCTGAATCAGTATTTTTTTTAAATATACAGTTATATTCTCACCGTAAAAATAATAACAATAATAATAGGTGCACTTCTTTCTTTTCAATGATAAATCATCATATACAAATTGTATACATACTATATATGTATACAATTCTCATTCAATTCTAATATTGTCCCGTATATGACTTTTAATATATAGTTCCTAACGTGTTAATTAAAAAATAATTAAAATTTTTCTTTTGAGTGCCTTTTATCGTTATTTATTTTTAGAAATATTGGAAAAATTCGATAATAAAAATAAATCAAAATATTTTTTTCCCTAATTATTAGAATTATTATCTCGGTAAATGATGATTCATAGTTGTGTTATTAATTAACAAAATTAGCTGCTATCTAAAAAATTATTGATTATTTTTATTATTCAGAATAATAATAATAATAGTATTTTAATAATAATTTTTATTTAAAAAAAAAAAAAAAAAAAAAAAACTCAACATTTAGAAAGAGAAAATTGCTTTTTTTTATTAATAAACAACTTTGTTTTTAAATTTAATTGTTTTCAACTTTTTTTATTTCAATATTTTTATTTCTACTTCCATTTTATTTTACTTTTTTTCTCACTCTTTCTAATTAAACTTTTTAATTACAATTTTTTAATTAATTTTAATTAATTAAATGTTATTTTAACTTTTTTTATTTTTACCTTTTTTTCTTATTTTTATTTTATTTAATTTTTTCACTTTCAATTCATTTGAAACAATTCAAATTTTATTATTAATAAAACAATAATCATAGTCCTTGGCACGTGTGCATCTATAGAAAAATGTTTCTTATGACTAAATATTTGGTTAAAAAACGAAAACAAAAAGGAAAACAATTTTCAGGAAATCAATTCCTATATATTCTATTAATTTTTTATTATGAAAAAATGCCAATATCAATAAATGATAAAAAAAATTAATCACATGTTTTTATTGTATTTTTAATTATAGATTATTTTCATTATTTAGAATAATAATATTAATAATAATAATAATACTAATAATACTAATAATAATAATAATAATAATAATAATAATAATAATAATAATAATAATAATAATTTTTATTAAAAAGAATAATAAAAATCGTAACAATCTCTACACGGAGAGACCGAGATTACTAATTTTTGTATAAAATCACACTAGAATTTACTATATTCACATTGCAACCACCGGAAATAAGGGGACTTTTTGTATTTTTTACTATTTTCTACACTAAGTCACTAATCCCGACAAATGTTCACCAAATTAGCAAAGTTTCTTACTATTTCGTCCAATAGTTCCAAACAACTGTAGTAAAACTCAGAAACATTGTGTACGTAAAATTACTATAGTCGTTGTAAATGCAGAAAGAAAGAGTGAAAGGAAAAAATACGGATTTTTGTCGCCGGTTTCCCGTCAATTCTTGACTAGTGGAGGTAAACTGGAAGGATTTTTACATACACAGACACACACACTCACACACTTATATATTTGTTGTTGGATAAATATTTGAAGACACACACATGTTTATTTCACTTATATGTATAGACGCGGTTAATTAATACACTAATACACAACTGCACGCACGACAACGAATTTCACTGAAAGTATACATCTTTGTTTCCTTATATATTGAATGATGAAAATTTACAGCACTTACGAGAAAGCAGTTTACTTTTAACAACTTATTATAAGACATACTTCTTGGGACAGGAATAAATGCAAAATTTATTAATTTATAATGGTCAATTTCTGAGATACCGAACGACCTACGTTTCACTTTATATTTAATTATTGTAGATAATATCCAAATTTATTTTACATACGCGAAACATAGTCACTGTCAATGATCGGAAGGCATCGGCTCATTTACGGAGATTGACGAGGTTAGCAACCAATAGAAATACAGGCGCCATATGACTGCACTCGCTAGCCACACTTGCTCACCAAAAATTACTACAGTGGATAGAAGATTTTAGTGGAAAATGTTTTCATTTGTCAGATTTTGTCTAATTAAATTAGAGAAAACTATAATCAATTTTCGCTACATTTACAACTCTTACACAAAATATTAAAACTTGCTATTTCAATGTAGCAAATTTATCTATTTCTTTTGTAAATTTATCTAATTCTGTAGTACATTATGCTAAAAGTCCCCTTATTTCCGGTCATTGCAACCGTTTTTAGTAATTTTTACGAATGTGGGTCTCTCCGTGTAATAATAGCAATAAATATTCATAAGAGACTATTTTTTTAAATAAATTATTATTATTTATTATTACCAACTATTCTTTACCAATAATATACTTTTTTACTACTACTCCTCCTACTAAAATTTGACATAAAAAATTACCACTAGCGAGAAAGTCAGTGGCGCCCTCTAGCAATCAATTTTGAAGCGGGCTTTTCAAATCTTAATTTTTTTTATTTTAGAAAATTACTTTTATTTTGTTAATAATAATATAAGTAATGTAATAATAATAATAGTAATAATAAAATGAACTAAAAAATTGATTATTTTTATTTTTCAAAATAATAATAGTAGTTCTAATAATAAAAATTATAATAATAATAATAATAATAATAATAATAATAATAATAATTAATATTCAGAATAAAATTATTTTTTCCTTATATATTATTATGATTATTATTATTTACTATTAGCAATTATTTATTACCAATAGACTGATAATAATAATAAAAAGAACAATATTATTGAATAACAAAAATAATTTTCAAAATAATGCAGATGAGTTATAATTGATAGTGAGGTTTGTGTTTTTTATTTGTGTTTCGAATTTCAATAAATATAGGAATTAAATTTTATAATAAATAAATTTTATTTACATTTTTTCCTACTTACATAGAAAAATAAATTAAATTATATCTAAATTAAATAAAAAATTTTACTATTAATTTATAAAAAGGCAATATTAGGCAGTTAATTACATAGTAAGCAGTCTTATTTGAAGGAAATTTGCAATTTAACAACAATGTAATATAGATTACTGGAGAAAAGATTACAAATCTTCTCCTTTTTTATTGAATTACGTTTCATTGATGATTGATTGACTGATTAATAATAGCTATATAACGCTCGTACACGCGTGGAGGTTTTTTGTTTGATCAATATACTACCAATTTTAAAAATATCCACATACATCAGTTTTCATATTTGCAAACACGTCTTTTAAATATTTAAAAATTTTATTTTATACATTTTATTCTAAATTGCGGAATAAAAAATTGTAATTGTTTTTTTTTTATAAAGAGCATCCAACTTATATACTTCAATAATTTATAGAAATTTATGGAGATGGAAAAATTATAAAATAGAAATCGAAAATTTGTATTGGAAACATTTTTCAGATAAATTATAAAATAGAAAACGAAAATTTGTATTGGAAACATTTTTCAGATAAATTATTATAAAATAGAAAACGAAAATTTGTGATAGAAACATGTTTTCGAAAAATTATAAAACAAAAATCGAAAATTTATAGATAGAAACAAAAATTAAGAATTGAAATCGAAAATATAAAATATAAAAAGATTTGTTGAAAAATATAATTTCTTTTGAAAAACTAATACTGAAGGACTCATAGATAGAGAGATTATTATCTAACACTGAGATGTATTAACATTTTTACAAATTGTCCTAATATTCGTGTGACATTTGCCATTTGAATCTAAAATAATTTTCGTCACTATCATCGTCGAACCCTCACTGTAACTCACATTAGATCTCTCCCTCCTCTCGTTGTATTGATTCTCACTTTCAAAATTACACTCATTTTTAGTGATATTATTTTTTGTTTGATTTTGCAAATTAATTTTATCACTAAACTGATTAGATTGATTAGATTTTGTTAATTTTGGTGATGATGATCGCGATGACGATGATGATGATGATGATGATTTTTCATTAAAATACTTCACGTGGCTTCCATGTCCAATAAACGTGACTTTATCCTCAATTGAATCGGGACCAAGATCAACGCGACCCCCATCACCTTTATATTCAATGGAACCAATATTTTTTATCACCTTCAATCGACAACCATCGCCAATCATACGAATCGTTCCAAAATTTCTTCCTATTGTGATTCTACATCCATCGCCTTTAATCTCCAATAGATTCTTGTTGCAATCCTTCCTAAGACGGAGACCATCCCCGGATATTATTTCCAGGTCCTTTTCACTTTTCGTCATATTTGAAAAGTTTTTTTTTTACCTTCCTTTTTTCTTCGATATATTTTGCTGGGGAATTTTTCAATTTGTTTTATTGTTATTCATTCCCTGATTTTTTTTAGGGATGGTATTTTTTTTGTTGTTGTTGGGATTTTTGATTTCTGTTGTTTGGGAAAATTGTTGTTTTAATATTGTTGATGTCTTTGGTTTTCTTTTTGGATTATTTCTGGATTGTTCGGATTGTTGCAAACTGATAGAATAGTTTAGTTGTCCTTAGGTTTTTAGGAATGTTCCTGAACCGTTCGGATTGTCAAAAGTTGCAATCTGTCAAATTTATTTAGATGTGCCTAATTTTTTACGGATGTTCCTAAATTGTTCTGATTTTTGTTGTCCTACAAAATAGTTGCTTAGATGTCCTTAAACTTTCAGGAATTTTCCCAAATTGTTATTCAGAATTTTGCAGACTGATTGAATAGTTGTTTAGTTGTCCTTAATTTTTACGGATGTTCCTAAACAGTTCGGATTGTTGCACTTCTGTCAAAAATGGTTCCTAATTTTTCAGGGATTTCTCCAAACCGTTCAAATTTTTCTAGTTCAACAAAATACCTGGCCAAGATGTCCTTAATTTTTTACGGATTGTCCCAAACTTTTCCTATTTCAGCAGCTACTAAAAATAGTTGCTTCGAGGTCCTCAACTGTTTTTCAAAACCACTTCCAAATCGACCAGAATCCAAATATTTAAATTCAGATATTTTAGTTAAAAACAAGTTTTAAAAATCGTCTTTAAAAGTCTTTAAAACTTTAAACACCTTGAAATAAACTGGAACTGTTTTTTTTTTCGCGAATCTAGGAAAACACTCGCGAAATTCAATGTCAGCACCTCTTGGGTTTCACACGAAGTAAAGCGTTCCACTTGGCAGAAGAATGGTTTTTGTTCGTTTCTTTTCTTTTTTGCAAATGAATAAAAGAACACTTGACACTTTTGTTTTTTTTTGTAATTTTAAAGATTTTGTGAATGAAAAGAAAAAAAAATGTTGTTTCTTTATGAGAAAACGCTAAAATTGTATGACTTGACTGGTTCACTCATCGCTGAATAGTCGTGGTGATTGTGAAAATAAATCGTGTTTATAATCAGTTTACTATACGACGCGATATTCCCATTTAACATTGAAGTATCTCTTCCAATCGGCAATTCTTTTCAGGTTCTTCCCCTTACAGTATAGCAGCGTATCTGCAATAAACATGTGACGTGACTCTGACGCGTCCGGTTACTTTATTAAGTTATATATATATACGTATGTGTGTCTATATATACATGTACTACACAGTTACAATTTTTCATTCATTCTTCGTCTCTTGACCGACACTTAATGTCTAGTTTTTGCATTAGGTGATTTCTTTTTTAAAAATTATTTTTTTTTTGTTTTCGTAATTTATTTATTTTAACTTGTTTTACTTTTCATCTATTTATTTTTACTTGTTTATTTTCCATCTATTTATTTTTCATATTTTTATTTTTGTTTATTTTTCATCCATTTAAAAAGAAAAAAAAATTTTAAAAGAAAAGACTTTTAATAAAATAATTACTTGTGTTTTATAACATTATTTCTTTAGAATTTTTTTTTATTTGAACAAAAAAAAATACAGCTGTTTATAAATAATCGATAACTTTAGTAAATTTAGTTCTACATTTGTATTTTAATAACGAAATAACAATTAGTTGGAATTATATGGATTAGAATGCAATTTTAGATTAAATTTTACAGTGGAATTGCAAAAATGTTGAGATTCAATATGGAGCTGGCTCTCCACCTGAGAACGCCAAGGTCACCGTCAGATGGCAGTTCAGTTTTTAAAATTATAACTTTGTGACAAGAATAGAACAAGTCTCGTATGCTTGGAGTAAAAATAGAAACAAAATTATTTCCATATAAATTTTTCGCAATTTTGATAATTAATGATAATTATTAAATAAATAGATATGGGAATAATTTCTTATTGAAAAAAAATTCCAAATACTTTCAAATAGATGAGGCAAGGCTGATAATATTAATAATAAGAGACTATTAAATTAAATCGTTCATTAACTACTGCAGAGATTTATTTAGAAAGCTTTTAATTATTACTCAACATTGAGAAAGAGAAAATTGCCTTTTTTTATTAATAGAAAACTTTTTTTTTCAACTTTTTTATTTCAATTTTTTTATTTCTACTTTTTTGTTTCTACTTTTTTATTTTACCTTCTTTTCGCTCATTCTAATTAAACTTCTTTTATTTCCATTTTTGTTTATTTTAACTTTTTTTTAAATATTTTTTTCACCTTCAATTAATTTGAAATAATTTAATTTTTATTATGAATAACAATAATTTCAAAGTCCTTGGCACGTGTGCATCGATAAAAAAATGTTTTCTATGCGAGTCAATATTTGTTTAAAAAACGAAAAAATAAAAAAACTATTTTCAAGGAATCAACTATGTATATTCTATTAATTTTTAATTATGAAATAATTTCAATATCAATAAATGATAAACAAAAGAATTAAACACATGTTTTTATTGTATTTTTTGATAAATTTAGAGATAATTTTTGAATTTCGAATATAATTTCCCTAAAAGCCTTGAGCAAAAATTAACCTTGGGAATTTTTTATTAACAGAAACTTTTTATTTATTCAACTTTTTATTATTAATATGTAAACAATTGTTATGAACAATTTATATTAACAATTCATACAAACAATTTATATAAACAATTAATTTCAACAATGAAAAAAAAATTAATTTAAACAATAGTTAAAAAAAATAAATAATGGTCAAAAAATAAATTATAGACAATAATCAGTAAATATAAAAACATAATGTCCGAATTTCTTTTGAATAAATGTCAAAATTTATAATAAGTACATTAATAGAGTTCATAATTAGCAAGAAGGGATCAACGTCCTTGGCAAATAAGCCGACAGTGAAGGAGCAGCTGTAAAGATTATTAAATATACCGTTCTGCCGCGAATTCGAGGGAAGTCCCTCGCGAATGACCGCCTAGAAACACTTGTTTTTTACACGTATTTTTCAATATTATTACACATGTGTCAATAAAAAAAAAATTATAATTATAAATTAAAAAAAAAATTTTATCTCCCATTCGTAAATCCTCACTTTGTCATATTATCAATTATATTATTGCCAAAAAGGAAAAAAAAAATTAATTTAGATTAATCTTTTTCACGTTTTGCTTGCATGCTATATGCACACACAATATACAAAAATTATTTGATGAATTTCAAAGATTTTTCATTCTTGTCAGGAAATTGAACTTTTTTTTATTTCTATATATTGATTAATATTATTTTTTTGCGTGTTTTTTTCTTTGTTCTTTTTTTTATCAATTTACAATTTTTTTTATCTGTATTGAAAAAAAATTTTAATTTCCTGGTATTAAATAAAAAAAAAAGTGTTTCTTTTTATTATTGGAAAAAAAGTCCTAATTGATTTTTATGTATTCGCTAATATTGGTTTAAAATTGGGGAAAACACCTTAAGTGACGTAATGCGAGAAAGAAAATAAAATAGGGAACACATCGTATTTGAGTCATCAGCGTGTGTGTGCGTTAAAGTTCAGGTTGAATGCAACTTGAGTCATTCCTTACTTTTTTTTTATTAGAAAACGTTTCGCGATTACATGGTTTATTAAATAATGTACTATTTACGCTGTTTGCACGTTTATTTCTCAGTCAACACACTTGAGATTTTTTTAAAATAGAATTTTTTAAATGTTTTCTTTCATTTTTTTATTTTAATTTGCTTTTTCATTTTTGTCCTTATTTTTATTTTTATGTTTTTTGTTTTATTTTTTTTGCTTTTTTATTGTCTGTTTTTTAATTTTGTTTTTATTTTCTTGTTTTTATTGTTTTTTTTTTAAATATTTTGTTGAAAATATCAAAATAAAATAACAAAAATTAATATATAGGCGAAAGTTAATTTTACCTTTACAATATTAATTAATAAACAAATGCAATTTCTCTTCCGATATTACGTTTGGATGAGTTGGTACTTGTAATGCGGAAGGCAATTTTAGTCATTCCAATTAACAAACACATATTATTCGTTAATATATTTTCTAACTCAATTCTCGTAATTCTTTTTTCTTATTTATTTTCCCAGTAATTAATTTAAAATTTTACGCAATATTTTTTCTTCTCTTTACATTTATACAAAAATCTAAAGGAGAAAATTCTTTTGAAGAATCTTTTGCAGTAAAACGAGTTTCATGTTAATTCAATCAATTTTAAAAAAATTTTTCCCCATTTTGTAAATATAATGTCAGATTCGTAATCAGCGACCCAAAAAACCCCCGAGTATCAACTTTCAAGCAAATTCAGTAAGTTTTTTAACTTGTCCGCCATATTGGATCCGCCATTTTGAATTTTTAAAAACCGTTATCAGATTCGTATTCAGCGACCTCAAAAACCCCCGAGTAACGAGTTTAAAGTAAATTCAAGCAATTTTAAAATTGTCCACCATATTGGATCCGCCATTTTGAATTTTAAAAATCTGACTTCATATTCGTAATCGGCGACCCCAAAAACCCCCGAGTAACAAGTTTTAAGTGAATTTGATCATTTTTAAAAACAAGTCCGCCATATTGCATCCGCCATTTTGAATTTTAAAAATCTGACTTCATATTCGTAATCGGCGACCCCAAAAACCCCCGAGTAACAAGTTTTAAGTGAATTGGATCATTTTTAAAAACAAGTCCGCCATATTGCATCCGCCATTTTGAATTTTAAAAATCTGACTTCATATTCGTAATCAGCGACCCCGAAAACCCGGGAGTAACAAGTTTCAAGTGAATTTGATCATTTTTAAGAAATATGTCCGCCATATTGGATTTGCCATTTTGAATTTTAAAATTCTAATGCTAGATTCGGAATCAGCGACCACAAAAACCCTCGAGTAACAAGTTTCAAGCAAATCGGATGAATTTGCAAAATTTTTTGAGCGAATCCATTTTTTAATTTCATTTTGGGCACCATAATATTGAAGCCGCCATTTCGAATTTTGAATATCCGATGCCAAAGAAAGAGAATTTTGGTAATTAGACAATAGAAAAAAAATTAAAATTACTATTATTATTATTATTATTGACAGTTGCTTGTCTAGACAATATAAATAAATAAGGTATTCTTTCAAATGGAATTTAAAAAAAACATTTTTCTCCCGTTTGTGGTTCATAGGAATCTATTTTAGTTCCGATTGGATTCCCATCAAATGACGGAAATTGAGTCCAGTTAATGAAATCGCCCCGCTTGTTGCTCGCGGCGTGAGATCCGGCATAAAATTGCTTCGTTGATTCTCAAGTCTGTTAAACATCCGGTTGACCTCTGCAAATGTGTATTCGAATAGGTACTTTGATTGCCATTCGGAAACAATATAAACAAGTGTAAAATTTTATCATCACACCGGCATCACATTTCCCATTAACTTTCACTACTACTACTACTACTACTACCACCACTTGTAATGAATAACAGTTTTTCTTTTTTTTCTTGTTTCAGAATGTTAAAGTCTGTCTAAAGTGAGAGAGATTGGTAATTAATCGGTCTTCCGATGGAAAGTGAGGATCATCTAATATCATCCACTGTACCCCGACAAGACTCGGGTGTACCGGATGATGTCAATTCGGCAATGAATGACTCGAAAAATGAAGAGGACGCCGATAGTGAGTTGATCAAAAAGACGCTCTAATAATGTTCCTCTAAATTTTATTTATGGTTCACTTTTTTATGTGAACTTTATTGTCCGAATGTTATTTGTAATTACATAATTTCTTCTTTTGCAGGTACGATAAACAGCGACTGTAATATAACAGTGATCGATGTGAATGAAATGAAACTTAAGGAGAAGGTTGCTGTTCCTGTTTTAGAGAAAGAGAAAAAAGACTCGGAGAGTAAAGACAGCAAGGATGGAAGTGATAGTGGAGTGGAAGTTTGCGTTACAGAAATTCCAAGGGTAAGAAACATCATGTAATCAATTTCACATACAAGTTCGAAACACGATACTTCGGTATGAAATTATACCGCAGAGGTTTGAATATTAATTTTTTTTTTCCACAGGCGAGAAGTAATAGCGTTGACTATGCAAGTAGTTGTGGGGGCCTCGATGAAGCTTCATGTGATTCTAGTCTAGTAAGTTGCTGTTCCGTTTACGAAGATCCATGCGCTATTTTGCCAGATGACATGAGACTGAACGCCGGTGGCGAGGGAACCAGCGAAGGCGGTAGCGAAAGTTCATCAGTAACTGGAAGCATATCAGCGCGAATGAACCGTATCAATACAAAACGCACATCCCTAGCATCGAATTCAACTAAAAAGAAGGCCAGCAGCGTTGAACCACAAAAACCATCACGAACAAAACCCTCGCCTACGAATAGTAATTCTACCACAACATGCGCAACACCCAGATCAAAACCACGAACAGTAGCCCCAAGGAATATCGTCACCAGAACACCATCCATAAATCGCGATCGTGGCAAATCGAGAGACAAATCTGTGCCGAGGGAAAACTCCACAGAATGTACAACACCCAGCACGAGATCATCTTCTGTTCGCACCACATCGAATTCCGTCCCGCCGAAAACAAGATCCCGACCCACTCCCGATTCTCTGCCTTCGGTGCTCACCACCGAGATTAATAAAGACTTGGCACAACGGGGACGAGGTGCGAATGCCACAAGAGCTAGGGGTGCATCGTCCAATCGAGGACGAACAACTCCTGAAGAAGTCTCTCGTAAATTACCGCCTCTCTCTTCAAGAACCGTCTACACCGGACGGCTCGAAATTAAAAACATTCGGAATGATCGAATGTCCCTGAGCTTAGATAGAAATACTCTAGATGCCTATGCTACACTACCACGCCGACCTAGAACCAGAATGTCAATTGGTAAACCGAACGAGAAACCGGAAACGAGCCTAAGAAGTCGATCTGGCAGTAGGGAGACGAGTTTAAGTCGACTGACCAAGAAGACTGTCAATGCGAATAATTGTACGGGGCAGAAGAATTTCAATTCGAAAACAAAGCCAATTGAGAAGACAAGAATTTATCATGAAGTTAGCGTACAAACTGGTTTGACTTGTGGTGATATTGAGAATGTATTGGCGGGGATTGCAACGAGACTACCGAATCCAGAAACAAGTGAGAAGGTACATCAGAAAATTCAGACTGAGGGTACGTGGCAGGATATAAGAGTACTGAAGGAGGATTTCAAGCGGATTGAGGAGGAGAATAATAAACAGAAGGAGGAGAATAGAAAATTGAAAATGGAATTGGAGAATGTTAAGAAAAAGCTACAGGAAGAGGAGGCTGATCATGCGTTTGCGCGACAGGAACTTGATCGTAATGCACAAAGAGTTTTGGCGATGTTAGGGACTCCTCAGTCTGAATATCCAGGTAATTACTGATTTGATATCTAGAATATTCTGATAGTTTATATCGGGGTTCGTTTCTTGAAACTATGACCTTAGGTATCCCATGGTATCTCACATGCGACATGATTAATGGTATTCTTGAATTACTCGTGACGTTCAGAAAAAATTCCGACAGATGACGTGACGATTGACATCGACAGTCAATACAAACAAATCAGGTTTACGAATTCCAAGTCGAGAATTGCTGACCCTTCTATATTCTAGCGTCTAAAACAATTCCCTAGTTTTCACGAAGCGATAGATTTGACGATTTCTGTCGATAACGATCGCAAATGACCGTCATCGACATAATGGGAATTACATTCAAAAGCACTAGAGTTGGGATAAGTCAACGTAGGCAGAGGGTTAATTCCAAAAATGTTCTTTCTTTCTCTTGCAGAAGGTAGCGACAGTTTCCTAGAATTGGAATCACATCTCCAGTCGGCGGGAAAAGTTGTCTCAACTCAGCAAATTGAAATCGCTGACTTGCAGTCACTTTGCCGAATGCTAAATAGAGTATGTAATTTTTTGTTCCGTCAACAAGGACTCAAATTTTTATTTTGGGATTTATTTATTTCTATTCATTCAATAGGACTTGGAAAAGAGTTTAGCTGCCCAGAAGAATCTACTTCAGCAGCAGCAGGAATTTGAGGCGGAGGCAACAGAAATGCAGGACTTCCTACAGGAAGAAAAGTCTGCTTTAGCCGAAGCGCTTAAAGACTCCGAAATGGAGGTGAATATTAAAAAAAAGTAGCCTAATCCCAAAGAAAGCAAATACCAATTCGGTATTATCAGTTAGGAACCTAATTTAATTATCTTTTCAGCTAAAAACAAAGGAAGACCTGGTCGCAGTACAAAGATCAGAACTCGAAAGACAGACCGAGGAATGTAAACATTTGGTGCGCATCAGTGAACAAAGAAGGTGATTAATAATCTTTCAGAAGTTTAGAGGCTTTGTTAACAAACATGAAATCTATCCTTTTGTATTCTAGACAGGAAAATTTATCCCTGAGTGTGAAATTAAATGCAATTGAGAGAAGAAGTAGAGAATTTTCACTTGCGCAAGGAGCAGCAGTGTCTGGAGCTTCGGTTGCGTTGTCCGGTCTTGGGAATCGACTTGAAGGATTAGTGGATCAATTAATCGTGTCATATAATATTTTAGAAAAGGATCTTGAGGTAATTTGTTCTTTCTAGTACCCAAAAACTAAAACCCTTTTCAGTATCCTTATTTTCCTCGATTTAAATTAGTTTCCAAAATTAATCTAATTTAGGATGAGGATAAGGCCTACTAGATAAATGTCTCTGCCCAAACGAAACTTACTTCTAATTTTGATTCGCAGGACGAAATTTTTCATAACGAGGCCTACAGTCAAAGTAATAGTAGCGTTGACTCGAGTCCTGTAAGTTCGAGGCACAGCATTAAAGACTGCACACCGAGTCCAAAGAGGGGATCCTTTGTTTCAGCCGTTATTGGCGCTATTAGAAATGCAGCGACACATCCCTTCATGGGAAAGAGTGACAAAAAATCAACTGCCAAACAAATGCAAAAAGGTAAATTTTTCAAAATCGTTTCGCGTCTGTAGTAGAAGTTGACAACCTTTTGTCTCAATAGTTTTCATCTAATTCTAAATCTTTTCCTCAAGAACTGAGTACAGAATCTTCGTCCGAATTACTTGACTTTGAGACGGAACCTTGTCTTATGATGGAGAGTGTTTTGGAGGACGTTCCATTACCTGATACATATTCGCACAATATGATATCGAGCAGTGATTCATTGAGAAGGGCTCTGAGTGTTCCAGAAACGGATGAGGATAATTTCCGTAAATCAAGACTCAAAGTAGAAAGTACTAGCTTGACGAATCTTTCACACGCTATTCTGAATAGACGAAAGGTTTGGATTTCTCTGAAATAGAATATCAATTTCTAATTAAGTTCAACGTAAATACATTTTTGATTTGTAATATTATAGGTGGAGGATGAAGAAGAGGACAATTACGAATCTATTAGTGAATCAGATATTCTAGATGGTCCGACATCTTTGAATTACTGTCCAGCAATTAGTATTGTCGATCAAGTGATTGACGTCGACAATCTTGTCACCAAACTTTTGAAAGTATTGCGAATCATTCAACTTGACAATGATACCTGTATACATGAGCTTAGAGACGAAAAGTATGTTTTTTTACTTAAGGTCTAAATTTTAAGTTACTTTACAACATAACGAAACGTTTCTTAGAATTTTGTTTGATGATAAACATTTTCTTCCAAATTAGGTCTACGCTAGAAGCTAGACTCGAAATGTCCGCGGAGGAATTGAAAGAGATGCAGAAGACATTAGAAAAACTGCATGAATCAGATGGAACGTACCATGATAATCTTGTTGACAGGAAAATAATTGTTGAAAGTTGTTGTCATTTGAAAAAAGAGGTAAGTCATTTGGTGTTTTTATTCTAAATGTAAGAACTTTTAATTTTACGAACCTTCTGGGTTTCAAAAAAAAGTTGAACGGGATGTTCTCATTGCGAGAGATTTCAATAGTAAATTTGAGATTAGAACTAGAGATCCAATGCGATTGATCTAATCTCACTTTCTTAACGACTTTGGTCACTTGGGTTACCTCTTTACCCCGCGTTTAACTTTGTAACATTGCAGTTAATTTTACAAAAAAGAACTAAAAAAAATTTAATTAAGTCATTTAAGAAAGAAAGAAAATAATCTCCGCGTCGCGTCTTCGCCGCCTGGAAGGGGAACTGGAACGTCGTGATTGGCTCCTGCGCTTCGGGAGTGGGGTACTTGCCGCACGGTATAAATACGACGCGTTTCCTTTCCTCGCTCTCATTCCTCCGATGACCATACAGGACAAACATTCCTCTGATTAACCTACAACGAGATATTTAGAATTTAGAATCTTATAATACTAATTCCTATTCATAGCTATACTAAGATTAAATGTGTGATTAAATACTACTATTATTTATAGAAAATTTTTAAAAATAAAAAAATTTCAGACTGCAAAAGAGGAATTATTGGCAGACGACACTGAGGTGGATCGAGAACAAATAAACGGCGATCACAATGCCAACGAGTCGGCCCTTCATTCTTCTAGAACATGTTCCTAATTAAATCCTGCCACAATTCTTTCTAATATAAAAACAGGTCACAAAAATTATTTGCAATTCTAAACTGCAAGAATATGAATACAAAATGATTCTTATTTATCAAAATATCAATAATCGCCAGGTTGCGAATTTGTCTCTCTAAAAAAACGCTTAATACGAAAAATCTGGTAAAATTTTTCGATCTGAAAGTTTAAATGTTATTGAGAAAAAAAATCAAATTTATCTGTACATATTAGAATGTGATATTTGTAGAAAATGTCAATTCACGAAAAATTGCTAATTCTTTTGATGCTTTCTATTTTTCTTTTGAGAAACAGTATTTTCTTATAGTGACGCTCATTCTTTCTCTTCTTATTTTTCAATAAGCAATGTTTCATTTAATTATTTTTCGATAAATGAACATTAAAAATCAATAGGTTTTTTCTTCAATTGAGGATAATTTTTATTTGAAATTTATTGATTATTGTCAGTCTTCCATTGAGAGAAAAATTGATAAACATATTTTTTTAATCTATTTGAAACATTTTTAGATAATAGAATTTTTTTTTCTCTGAAATCGATTGGGTTTTATTATTGAGAATATTTTTTAAGTAATTATTTTTTGAAGACTGTATTTTTATGTTACTTTTTTAATCAAACAAAAATGCATCGAATCGAACGTTTGACGAATTGTTGCAAAAATAACTTATATAGAGACTCTAATGTGAAATGTTGCTACTTATAAGCTTTATCAATTGTAAAATCAAAAATTTGATGTTAGGAAAAATGTTTAATTTAGATATAATATTTTCATGCGTGTGTACAATAGCCGAAGGAATTTATATAATTGTAATAGATCTCTTTCTTCCTTTTTTTTTGTCCATTTTTAATGCTCAATTCTGCATTTTATTCAAAGTTGTTAGCAGAAAACAGTTTGCTGTGATTCTTTTTATTCTTCGAAATTTTCTGATTTTTTAAATTCTTTCTGTGTGACAGTTTCCTTGTGTAATATTAGGGAAATGAAAATAATAGACTTTCGATGAATTATGACTAATTTTTCGAAGTTAAAGTGTACCAGGTCTTATTTAAGTTTATTATTCCTTTCGTCATTTGAAATTATTTGATAATTTGTTATTTTAGATATTGCGAAAGGGTAATAATGGATCAGTATAGTTATGTTATTCGCAAATACAATTATTGAAAATACTCAAGAAAAAAAACTACAGAATGAAAGCAATTGCAGAAATTTAGTAGTTGTTAGAATTAAAAAGATTTTTTTTATACATGATGATTTGCCAAAGAAGCTGGTGTAAAAACTGTAAACTTTAAAGAAATAAATAAACTTTTCCATAAAAAGAAATTTAAATGATTTTATTCATCGTTAAAATTGTATTTTCTGAGGATTAGTAGATTGGGTTCGGGGATGTCTTTATACGGTCCTGGGGTTCGAGCGGTGGCGTCGCGTTTACAGCGCAGGCGCCCCCCACCAACGGCCGGAATACTGAGAAGGGACGCTCCGCCCCTCTCTGTGAGTATATAAACCAAGCGCACGGCAGGGAACTGGCAGTGTAGCGAGGAACAACTCAAGAGTGATGTTACCGCAACTTTTCTCTTTCAATATTCTAAATTGAATAATTATAACGTGATTATTTTAAATTACGTTAAAGTTATTCAATTAAGGTGTTGCAAAAATTCTTGGAATAATTTCTTTTGTTAATTATAGAAATATTAATTTATTATTAACGAAATAAATTCACTAATTATTGTGGAAGGGGAGCAGAAGGAGAGGAAGCGCGTCAAGCCTTCTTAGTATGATGATTGTCAGTAGCGGAAAGACAATCAAAAGAACGTCAACAGGACTGTAAAGGATGGACTCAAAATCATCGAAGCAAATCATTATTAGCGCAAACTAAAAAGTTATTAGAGATGCTCAGAAACGGAGGAGAGAGGGTGACAGTCCAGAAGAGATTCGAACCCAAGTCGGCTAAGGATTAACGTATGCTGACATTCTAGGTAATTATTATAATCATCTTAATTAATTATCTCAATCTGAGATGACACTATGGAACCAGGATAATGTGACCAGGTAACAATTCGATGAGTGATTATTGTAACAACGTTTATTGCACCAAGTGGATATTTCTGGATCAAAAGGAAAAATTTCTTTCGGACTTGGTATATTTATTGAATTAAATGAATATCACGAGTACATGAGAATGATAGTTAGACATATTACAATTATGATTTCAATGAACGTAGACTCAATCACAACAATAGTTTTTTTTCGCCAGTTCTTCCGGGAAAATTACTACCTTCCTAAATTCCTTCTCTGTTCCAAAAGCGGTGCAATCAGATTAATTAATTTTATCGACACTGGTCTGAAAGTAAAAACGAAAAATCATCAAAACGTGGTAGTTGAAAAGATGGATTAATTGTTCTAGTTGATAAAAAATAGCAATCGAAAAAAAATTCCAGGTGTAGCACTTGCGAGAAAATAGATTATAGAGGTAAAAAAAAATTGATTACAGTTGTCAAAAAAAAAAAAGAATACAACAAAAATTCGATTGTAGATCCTGTAAATGAACACTTACCCTTCGGATTGTTTTTTTGGTGCTGAATAATAAAGTGGGGAGAGTTGTGACGGTTCAGAATGTTCTTTATTTGATTTTAAACCAGTTGCATTGAGAAGAGCTGTTATATTTGGTTGAGCACCCAATAAATCTGAACCCTCTGCTGCGCCACCAGCTAAGAGAAGAGCATCCGCTGGAGCCAGGACAAATACCAAACCATCAACTTGAATTCGATAATTTTCTGATCCATTTTGCCTCTGATCGTATTCATTGTATTTTCGCTCTAAATTTATATTACTTGGCAATTCTGGAGTAACATTATCAGGAATTACAGGAACTGGTGGTGCTTCGTTCTCCGTTTGTGGCTTTAGATCCAAATTTGGACTTTCTGGCTTTAGGGGAGCGCTAGATTCTTCTATTGGTTCTGGTTTAGCATTTAAATCTGGTTTTTCCTTTTCAGCAGTGGGAATTTTCTCTGGTTCCTAAAAGATAAATGCAAATGAGAAGAATTAGTACAAAATCTTTATAACAATTGGCAAATAGTAGAATTAGTAGGAATAGGAGAGAAAAGAATAAAAAGCATTTGATAATTAATAAGAATTAGTAGGAGTAGGAGGGTAAGAAGACACAGTAGAGAATTAATAGAAGAAAAATGAGTAGGAGCAGGAGGGGAATTGATGCCAGAAGAGAAGGAAGTTAGGATTGTTCTAAGAGAAGGGAGGGGATTAGTAGGAGTAGGAAAGAAAGATGAGGAAGATACAGTTGATAATTAATAACAAAAAAACACAAGAGGTAGGAGTAGAAGGGGAATTAAAGACAAAAGAGAATGAGGAAAATAATAAGCAATAATTATTATATTAGTGAAGAAAGAGGATTAGTAGGAGTAGGGAAGGAAGAGAAAATTATAAGAGAAGGAAGATTATTAGTAACAGCAGGAGTAAAAGTAGGGAAAGAATAGGATTAATAACAGTAGGAGTAGGGAAGGAAGAGAAGTAGTCAAAAAGGGGAAGGAAGAGGGAATTATAAGAGAAGGAAGAGGATTAGTAACAGACGGAGTAAAAGTAGGGAAAGAATAGGATTAATAACAGTAGGAGTAGGGAAAGAAGAGGGAATTATAAGGGAAGATTATTAGTAACAGCAGGAGTAGAAGTAGGGAAAGAATAGGATTAATAACAGTAGGAGTAGGGAAGGAAGAGAAAATTATAAGAGAAGAAGTAGGAGTAGGATGAGGATTAGTATCAGTAAGAGTAGGGAAAGAAGAGGGAATTATAAGGGAAGGAAAATGATTATTAACAGTAGGAGTAGGAAAGGAAGAGAGAATTATAAGGGAAGGAAGAACATTAGTAACAGCAGGAGTAGGAGTAGGGGAAGAATAGGATTAGTAACAGTAGGAGTAGGGAAGGAAGAGTGAATTATAAGGGAAGGAAGAGGATTAGTAAAGGTAGGAGTAGGGAAGGAAGAGGCATTTATAAGAGAAGGAAGAGTAACAGTAGGAGTAGGAGTAGGAAGAGGGAATTATAAGGGAAGAAGGAGGATTAGTAACAGTAGAAGTAGGGAAGGAAGAGGAAATTAAAAGAGATGGAAGAGTAACAGTAACAGTAGGAGTAGGAGTAGGAGTAGGAAGAGGGAATTATAAGGGAAGGAAGAGGATTAGTAACAGTAGAAGTAGGGAAGGAAGAGGAAATTAAAAGAGAAGGAAGAGTAACAGTAGGAGTAGGAAGAGGGAATTATAAGGGAAGGAAGAGGATTAGTAACAGTAGGAGTAGGGAAGGAAGAGGCATTTATAAGAGAAGGAAGAGGAGTAGTCAAAAAGGGATAGGAAGAGGATTAGTAACAGTAGGAAGAGGGAATTATGAGGGAAGGAAGAGGATTAGTAACAGTAGAAGTAGGGAAGGAAGAGGAAATTAAAAGAGAAGGAAGAGTAACAGTAGGAGTAGGAAGAGGGAATTATAAGGGAAGGAAGAGGATTAGTAACAGTAGGAAGAGGGAATTATGAGGGAAGGAAGAGGATTAGTAACAGTAGGAGTAGGGAAGGAAGAGGCATTTATAAGAGAAGGAAGAGGAGTAGTCAAAAAGGGATAGGAAGCGGATTAGTAACAGTAGGAAGAGGGAATTTTGAGGGAAGGAAGAGGATTAGTAACAGTAGAAGTAGGGAAGGAAGAGGAAATTAAAAGAGAAGGAAGAGTAACAGTAGGAGTAGGAGTAGGAGTAGGAGTAGGAAGAGGGAATTATAAGGGAAGGAAGAGGATTAGTAACAGTAGGACTAGGAGTAGGAAAGGAAGAAGGAATTATAAAGGAAATAATAGGATTAGTAACAGTAGGAGTAGGAGGAGAAAGAAATACAGTTTATAATAAATATAAAGAGAAGTAAGAGAGAATAAAATAGGAGAATAGTTAGAGGAACAAGATGAGGAGGAGAAGGAAGATACAAAATATATTTATTATAAATGTCTGAAAAGAGTAAGAATAGTAGGAGTAGGAGAATAATTAGAAGAAGAGTCAAACAATAATTTTTGCAAAAGAAATAGGAGAGTAGGATTAGTACAAGTAGAAAAGGAGTAAAAAAAGATGATGCAGATGATAATTAATATAGAGGGAAGTAGAAAAGTAGGAGTCGGAGAAGAATTACAAAAAATGCAGAAGGTATTGTAGGTATAGTAGGAATAGGAATAGTAGTAAGAGAAGAAGATGAGAATTCCTACTAATTCTACTCCTAATTTTAGAAGTAGAAGAAAATTGGTAGTTATAGTAGGAATAGGAATAGTAGTAAGAGAAGAAGATGAGAATTCCTACTAATTCTACTCCTAATTTTAGGAATAGAAGAAAATTTAAAAGAAGCTTGCGATGCAAATTAATGTTAGAAAAGGTAAGAAGTATAGAGTTGAAAACTGAATTAGAAAAAGAGGAGGAAAAATAAACCAAATAATAATTAATAGCAAAAAATTAATTACTACTAGAGGAATTAGAAAAAGAAGAACACAAAACCAAAATCCATGATAAAATAAAAAAATTTCTTCCAACTTAAAAAAAATTGTATTCCTTATTAAAAAAATTTTATAATTATTTAAAAAAAAAAACTTACTGGTAACTTATCTTCGGTTGCTTCGGATTTCAGTAAAGGATGACCTTGGCTAAAGACAATCGCAAAAAGTAATACTAGAACGCTGATTATCTTCATATTTAGACGATTGATGAAAATAACAGTAAGTATAAATATATCTATCTATTAAAAACTAATATTAATTTCCAAATTAATAATTCAAGTCCTCTTTAAATATCAAAGACGTCCTGCAATGATGAAGGACGATTGAACAGTGAGCAACTTGTTCGTCTATTCGTTCAACCGAGGTCCCCACTTGTCAGGAATATCTTCCAAGTTCAAGGACCCTCGGGAGTTTCTTCATGCCTCCTGTATTATACAACTTGCCAAGAATTTTTTTTTAAAAAAAGCTCATTTTCTCCTCTCCTGCCAGCAAGACTTATAACAAACGGTAATTCACTTGAATTTTTTATTTTTTATAAATAATATCACTTCCTTATTTCATATTTCTCTTTAGTTTCTTTTTTCACAAACATAAACTTCAAACTGATCCTTTAGTATAAAAATAATTTTTTTTTTTTGCTGAAAATGTTCTTTGTGGTGTTTGAAAGGAATATAAGTATAGAATTAAAAATTATGGTTCTTGAGATTTAGAAAAAAAGGAATTTTCTTTCCTGTTTGGAGATTCAGTTTATAAACCAGTTTTTGAAGAAGAAGATTAGTCATTAAAATATAGGATTTTTTTTTCTTTTTATTTTTAAATGTATATGCTGACACTGGTCATTAGCTATTTCATGTATATTATCTTTTGGTTTTTTTTTCTTTTGCACCATCGTGAAATGAATTTCAAAAAGGTTTTTCATGTTTCATTAAATTATCGCATCAGTTTAATAATAAACTGTCTAGATGTCAGAATTTTATCTAAGGGCATAATATTCTTTAAATACAAAGGCGTATGGTAAAAATTTACATGTATTTTTAGTAATTTTTCTGAAGAAAAAAAAAAATTTTTGGAAGAATTTAAAAAAAAAATGTTTCTAAACACATAGTTTTCTTAAAAGTATCAAATTGGATCAAAAATGATATATACAAAAAATTAAATTATGATTTGATTCACTATTTGGTATCAATTTTTTCAAATTTGATACTTTTAAGTTAACAGTGAATAAATTATTATTTTTTTTTATTAATTATTAATATTTTTATTAATTTCTAATATGTTATTTAGTTTTAAAAAAAAAATTCTAGTATTTACTCCCATAAAAATTTTCAAATTATGATTTTTTTTCATCCAGCTAATTCAAGTTTCTTTATAGTGTAAAACGTTTAAAATAGAAAAAAGCATTACAAAAAGAATCAGTATGTAGTTTGTTGTAGAGGATGTTGAAGATCGCAGGTGCAACGACCTAAAGTGGCCTCTCCTTCGACTCTTATAATGCTCGCAACATTGCCCTTGTCAGACGTCGAATTTTCCAATTATTCTCATCGCGATTAGCGATAAGTGAAGGAGAAAAATACGAAAAACAGGAAATTTCTTTTTTTTTTTTTAGAAAATAATTAAATTTTTTCGTTTTTCATTTAGTTTTTTTTGCATAAAAATAATCATAAGACAAATTTTGATAAAAAATAAAAATTTTTGGTATAAAATACAATTTTTAATAATAAATAAAAATATATAAAAATAAAGGAGAAAAAATATGATAAAAATTCAGGAAATAATTAAAATTTAAAGATTTGTAAAATATTTTACAGACAATTGTCAAAAAAAAAAAATAATGAGGACAAGAATAGAAATTGTTTAATAATTAGGTATTTAAATAGGATTTAAAGAAGAAAGTCTTAGTTTCAGAAAATGATTCTTTTATTTTTTTTCTTTTCGAGTAGGATACAAAGAAACACACCATTTAATATAAAAATTAAGAGATGATAAAAGTAATAATAATAATAATAATAATAATAACAATATCAATAATTATTATTATTAATTATTAGTAATAATATTAATAATAATAATAATAATGTTATTATTATTTATTATTAGTAAGAATATTAATAATTAATAATAATAATGAAATAAAATTTGAATAAAATTAAAAAACACATTCTCACAATACTCTCATCACGCACAATTTTTAATTCACTTCTAAAATAAAATTTACTGTCATTTTATTCACAATTTTCTTTATTATATAGTCGATGCTCTAATTTTTAATGATTATTTTTTCCACTTAGAAGTATTTTTACTATCACAAAGCTTCTTCAATTACTTCATTCAGTCTATTATTCTTTAATTCCATCAAATAGAGAGACAGAAAAAATTTTATATTCAAATTTTAAGAATATAAGTTAACATATTCTTGAATTTTGAATATTTCTTTTTTTTTAATAAGCAAAAATATTGAAAATAATACTTGGAAATTAAAAAATTATTCTAGAATAAGAAAAAAAAGTTTACATCCAAAGAAACTGAGAGACGAATTATCAAATTTTATTTGGTTCAAGAAGAAATTGTTTTTCGGTTCAAATAAAATTTTTTTTGGTTCAATTGAAGTTTATTCGAGTAAACAAGAATTTCTTTTTACCAAACAAACTTCATTTGAACCAAATAAAATTTATTTGAACCAAAAAACTTCATTTGAAGCGAAGAAACTTCATTTCAACCAAAGAAACTTTATTTCAATCAAACAAACTTCATTAATTTGAATCAAACAAACTTTATTTGAACCAAAGAAACTTCATTTGAACCAAAAAACTTCATTTGAACCAAAAAACTTCATTTGAAGCAAAGAAACTTCATTTGAACCAAAGAAACTTTATTTCAATCAAACAAACTTCATTAATTTGAATCAAACAAACTTTATTTGAACCAAAGAAACTTCATTTGAACCAAAAAAACTTCATTTGAACCAAAAAACTTCATTTGAAGCAAAGAAACTTCATTTGAACCAAAGAAACTTTATTTCAATCAAACAAACTTCAATAATTTGAATCAAACAAACTTTATTTGAACCAAAAAAACTTCATTTGAACCAAAAAACTTCATTTGAAGCAAAGAAACTTCATTTGAACCAAAGAAACTTTATTTCAATCAAACAAACTTCATTAATTTGAATCAAACAAACTTTATTTGAACCAAAGAAACTTCATTTGAACCAAAAAAACTTCATTTGAACCAAAAAACTTCATTTGAAGCAAAGAAACTTCATTTGAACCAAAGAAACTTTATTTCAATCAAACAAACTTCATTAATTTGAATCAAACAAACTTTATTTGAACCAAAAAAACTTAATTTGAACCAAAAAAACTTCATTTGAACCAAAAAACTTCATTTGAAGCAAAGAAACTTCATTTGAACCAAAGAAACTTTATTTCAATCAAACAAACTTCATTAATTTGAATCAAACAAACTTTATTTGAACCAAAGAAACTTCATTTGAACCAAAAAACTTCATTTGAAGCAAAGAAACTTCATTTGAACCAAAGAAACTTTATTTCAATCAAACAAACTTCATTAATTTGAATCAAACAAACTTTATTTGAACCAAAGAAACTTCATTTGAACCAAAAAAACTTCATTTGAACCAAAAAACTTCATTTGAAGCAAAGAAACTTCATTTGAACCAAAGAAACTTTATTTCAATCAAACAAACTTCATTAATTTGAATCAAACAAACTTTATTTGAACCAAAAAAACTTCATTTGAACCAAAAAACTTCATTTGAAGCAAAGAAACTTCATTTGAACCAAAGAAACTTTATTTCAATCAAACAAACTTCATTTGAACTAAAAAAAATTTATTTGAACCAAAAACTTCATTTGAACCAAAGAAACTTTATTACAATCAAAAAAACTTTATTTGAACCAAATAAAATTTATTCAAACCAAACAAACTTTATTTGAACCAAATAAACTTCATTTGGACCAGACAAACTTTATTTGAACCAAATAACTTCATTTGAAGCAAAGAAACTGCATTTGAACTAAATAAAATTTATTGGAACAAAAAAAAAATTCTTCCAATAAAATTTATTTGATCCAAAAAAATTGGATTTAATTGAATTAAATTTATTTTAGTTTCTGTTAAACATATTTGTTCGAAACTAATTTTATTTAATTGAAATTAATTTGTTTTGGTTTAAATAAAGTTTAGTTGATTCAATAAAAATTTATTCCAATCAAATAAATATTACTTTTTTTTTAAACAAAGTTTCTTTGTTGTCAAAGAAATTGAATCTGTTTAATAAATATTATTAAATTCCAGATAAAAAAATGTATTTGAAACCAAATAAATTTCATTTCTTTCAAATAAGTTTCATTTAGTTCAAATAAATTTAATTTGTATATAATTACCTTTATTTGATGCAAAGAAAATTTTCTACTGGATGTAATGAATTAATCTAAGGATTGAGCATTAATTATTTAAGTAATTAAATACAAATAAAATAGTAAAATTTTATAATAATTAATATCAATTAGCGATTATTATAGATTACTTAATTATTAATTAGTAAACAAAATTGTTTAATTTACAAAAAAATTGAATAATTTTGTTATTAAACTATTTAATTGATAACAAAATTAATTAATTCCGTTTACTAATTATTAACTGAATAATTCAATAATTATGCAATATCGATTAATAAGTATTAATATCAATTAATAATAATTTTTAGTCAAATTACCAATAAATAATTATTAATCACTATTAATTATTATTCAAATTCGATTAATTATTGTTATCTCTCAATAACAAGAAAATCACAAAACTACAAACTACTATTTGAATAACATGATTTCGTTTTATAAAATAATATCAGAATAATTATTTATAAACTGTAAAATATTGATTAAACAAGTAAAGAATTAGAGAAAAAAATATCGAAGAGCAAAAAAATTTTGATCAATTCAATGATTCGTCAAATTGACAAATTCCATAACGATTACGAACTCTACCAGGTCCACAATTTTCAATCATTTCACCAATTGGTTTTAAAAATTGTGATTTTTGATCGGCAATATGACGAACTTCATTTTTATCACCAGCCTCTTCATCGTTCTTTCCATTCTCAAATCTTGGCAATTCCTTTTTCAATGACATACGACTTTTTTGATGATGATGATGATGTTGATGATTCTCTTCCTTTAATGAATTCTCCAATCCTCTTCTTATTTGACGAATTTTCCTTATTATTGTCTCGACAATTGGTTTATCATTCTTGTTCTTTTCACTTTTTTCCTTTTCATCTAATTGTGAATTATTTTGTTGAAATTGCGAATCACTTGATTTTTGATTTTTAATTTTAAAATCTGGTTTTTGTTTGGAAAATTCTTCATTTTGTTGAAGAATTTTTTCATTCTTCTCTTGTTGTGAATCATTATTAATTTCTGATGAATATTTCTTCTCGGCATAAATCACTTTATCGTCAATTGAACTTATTGTGCCAAATGAAATAAATTTCTCCGGTGCTTTCTCATTTTTTACTGAATCCTTATTGTCTGTTGAGATTTTTTCGTTTTTGATTAATTTTTCTGTTTGGGAATTTATTTTACTTGCTATTCCCAATTTATCGAGAATTTGATGATTGTTGGTGATTTTCTTCTCCGCATTACTCAAATCTTCGAAGTGAAATTTTATTTCCTGATTTTTTGGTAGTTCTTTTGTATTTCTTTGAATTTCTGATGATTCTGATGATGCTGATGATGCTGATGATTCTAAAGCAACTGCTGCTCCTGATAATGATTCCGATGATGACAAAACTGATGATTCTGATGATTTTTCCAAATTGTCCGGATTAGTTTCGATTCGTAAAATTTTCACATTGAGTGGATCCTTTCCCTCTTCTAAAATTTCTTCGTCAGCAATGGATACCTGTTTATTTCTTGACGTGAGACCCCTTAATTCGAGAATTTGTGAGGCGATGTCGTTAAATAAACTGGTTGGACCCTTATCGCCGGGAGTGGCAATTACAATCATTATATTCTCCAATTGTGCGTGAACATTTAAACGTCCATCCTGTCGTTGATCGTACACTGATTTACAATGCGTTAATATTGCAAGAAGTGAAAATATTAAAAGTTGTTTGAGCATTTTTTTTGCAGGAGAAGACAAAAAAAAAAGAAAGAAAACAATTCTAGTATATGTATATGCAATCACGTTTTCTTCAGCTATAAACTCTTTCAAGTTCTCACGACGACTGATGATCTCAACTGCACGAAGGAGATGCTCAGATATATATTAGCAAGGGAGAGGGTATAAAGGAAGCATACGAGAGTGTATTCGATGAGAGGGAAAAAATTTCGCTACGCTGGTAGAACAGAAAAAAGGAGAAAAATGATGAAAAAAGAATTTAAGAACTATACTATACTATAAAAGTAATCTGCAACAGTTTAAACCCTCCAGGATTAAATTAACAGCAAAAAGGATTAAAATAATTTATTATGGTGTTATTTTTTACTATCAATGAAATTTTATTATAAATCAAACACCAAGTCAACGATTACTAACAACTAACTAACCTTACTAAATAACTTACTGACTAACTTACTAACTAACTTTCTAGCTAACTAACAAACTGACTAGTTAACTTAGTTACGAATTAACTAACTTAGTTACTAACGAACTTACTAATAAACTTAATAACTAACTAACTTTTAACTAACTGACAAACTTAATTACTAACTAACTTCTTAACTACCTTACTAAATTCGTCCATATATTTTAGAAATTGTTCGCTAAGCCATGTATTTTTGAAATCGTTCGCTAAGCTAATATATTACTAACTAACTACTAGTTAGTAAGTAACTAAGTTAAGTAAGTTAGTTAGTAACTAAGTTAAGTAAGTTAGTTAGTAACTAAGTTTGTAAGTTCTATAGAAAGTTGTTTAGTAAGTTAGTTGGTAAGCTAATAAGTTAGGTAATAACTAAGTTAAGTAAGTTGGTAAGTTAATTAATAATTAAGTTTGTAAGTTAGTTAGCTAGTTGGTTAGTAAGTTTGTTAGCAAGTCAGTTAGTATATTAGTCAGTAAGTAAGGTGTAAATAACTCTTGTTTAAAAGACAATTTCACTTAAAAATTAAATTTATTTCGATACTTTAAGTATTTATGACAAAAATTCTTAATTTTACTTTCTAAATTGTTATACCTTTCGTTTCTTCAAAATATCTGTTTAGACATTTTTTATTTTGTTTCGTTTTTTTTTCTATTTTGTAATAATAAACATTCTTTCACAGAGAGCACAATTTAAACAGATATTTGTTTTCTTACACTTCGTATCAATTCTGGTGCTACTCTCATTGCCAGTCTGTAAATGAAAGTATATAATGAAATTTATAATATTTTATTTATCATTTTATTAAGCATAATTTTAGCATTGAATTTCGATAGTCTGCTTTTTTGAAAATACAAATTTTAGGGAATATTTTTTTTTCCCACTTACGGTAAAAGTGATAATCTCCTTCTGAGACAGCGACCAGTTTTATCTAAACCCTTACATCTCTTTGTAATTCTTTCTCGTTTATTTCCTACCGAATTTTCAAGGGTTCCCTGAGTTGTACTTATATTTTTTTCAGTAAGATTTGTGGGATCATTATTTGATACTGGCACTGAAGTACTTTCTATTTAAAAAAAAAAATGGTAAATTAACAAAAATCTGCATAAACATAAGTAATTTCTTTTATTCCCCTCTGGGCAAAAAACCATGTTCTAGAAATGTTCATAAAACGTTTTTGGAACGTTTCATGTCCACCAAATAATGTTCCAAAACATTTTAAGAACATGGATGTTTTTAAAATGTTTTGGAACATTATTTGGCGGATATGAAACATTCCAAAAATGTTTTTCGAGTTTCTTTTCTTAAGAACAAGGTTTTTTGCCCAGAGGGACAGTATATCAGATAAAATTGTACTACAAAAAATTTATTTTAAAATTTTTTGATAAAAGAAAATGTTTACCTGCAATATCGCTTCCCTTAGTTGTTGTTTCTAAACTTGTAGTTAAAATTGCAGTAGTGCTTTTTTTGTCTTCAATAGCCAAAGACAATAGAGGAATAGAAGTAGTCGATGATTCTAAAGAAATATTCAAATTTTCCGCTTGCATCGGTTTTGTCGACGAAACAATCGTCGTCGATTCCGAATTATTATTTGAACTCACTGGCGGTAATTTTGTCGTCGGCTTTGTTACTGGTTTCAAAGTAAAATCTGCATAATCATAAACGTAATCATAATTCTGTAAAAAAAATAAGTAGATATTAGTAATTACATATGCAATTGATGACTAAGAAATAAATAATTAATTATGAACTAAATAAATTATTAACAAATAAATTAGAAATGACCAATAATGATGAATTATTTAAAAATTACCATGTAATCATCCAATAAATCGGATTTCACCAAAGCGATCACCTCAACATTTTTGACATCAATTTGTACATTAACGTCGCCGGTTTGACGTTGATCGTATCTCGCAGGACTGGCAAAAATTGTCAGCCAACATTGAGAAGCAATAATAATAAAACTATAGATTAATGAAGACATAATATGTCTATGACGAACTTGAACAATTCTTAACTATAATTTAATAATTTTTTAAGAATAAATAACTTTGTTTCTTCTTCAGTAGATTTAGACGCACAAATTTTTTTTATAACGAGATGATGTTCACAAAAATTTTTAAACCATCGATTTGTTTAAACTACAACTGATACCTTTCGTCTGAGTCTAAACTCCAAAGGTGAATGAATATTTCTCATGAAACCGGTATTTCATCCTGGGCTTCATGCCAAGAATCTTGAGATTAAACATTAAGTTTCCGCGGTCAATGCTCCACAACCCGAGAAATACTTGCCCTTGGCATTGTAATATATGTAATTTCAAGGACGAAATGAAAAAAAAATTAATAAATAAATTTTACATTCAAATCATCGAACAATAACGGTTAATACTTTTTTTTAAAAAAAAAAATTTAACTTATTCAAATTATGATTATTTCTGTAAAAAAAAAGTATCAAAATTCAATTTTATTCATCGAAATTCAATTTATTTTTACAAACTGACATTATATTCGTAATCAGCGACTAGAAAAACCCCCGAGTTACAAGTTTTAAGCGAATTTGATCGATTTTCAAAAAATAATCCGCCATTTTGGATCCGCCATTTTGTATTTTTAAAAACTGACCTTGTATTCGTAATCAGCGATTAGAAAAACCCCCGAGTTACAAGTTTCAAGCGAATTTAATCGATTTTCAGTAAAAATCCGCCATTTTGGATCCGTCATTTTGTATTTTTAAAGACTGACCCTACATTAAGACCTGAAACTCCTAAATTACAATTATCAAGCGAATTCAATCTATTTTTTTTATCAAAAAATTCCAGCTGCATTGAACCCTTTAATTTTTATTTTTAAAAAACCGGATCTGACTTTTAAAAATAAAAAAAGAAAGATTAAAATTTAATAAACTATAATAATAATTATTATTATTATTATTATTATTTAATAAACAAAACAACAAAAATCGTTTTAAAATTCAAATTCAAATATCGAGTCTATTGGTAATAATCGATTCCTCGTTCGCCAACGCTCTGAAGTTGCATTCACATTCCGTAAAAATGTATATATATGACAGTTCGGTGGTGTGTGTGGTGGTATAATCGCAAGTTTTTTTTTCGTGCGGAAAAAGCTAAATATTTTTAAAAAACTAATTCACAACGTATTCTCGAAACAAATATTGACAGTTTATTTTAATGTAGTTAACGTATCATTAAAAATACGAGTTTTATTCCATTAACTTTTTCTTGTTCTTCGACATTAAACAAAAATTTATCATGATTCGTACTCTTGTACAAAATGTTACAGTTTTTTAAAAAACCTGGTAATTATCATTTATTTAATTGCATTGAAATAATATTTATTGCTTTTCTCATTAACAAATTTATGCATTCAGTCTAAATATCGAACATAACCTCTTTATAACGACGTCAACATTCTTTTTCAAAACACGCGTTTTATATATGTATATGTATATATGTATGTATGTATAGATGTATGACATTTACATCATTTACTTTTTAACTGTATAAATAGGACTAAACCGACATTTACTCTTCCTTGCATGAAAGGGCAACGTTTTACCCACATAATACAATATATTGCTGTAAGCTTGTTTTATGCTTAAATTGCTTAAAATGTAAGATTCCAAAGTTTGCACTGTAGACTGGGGTGTGATTACATTACTCACCTTAAAATGAGTACAATTTAAGGTGAGTAATTTATTTGCCATTCAGAAGTTTACAGTGTAAGTTTGACATAAATTTACAAAGTAAGTTTCCTGTAAACTTGCTGTAAATTGTGTAAATTTACAAAATTATATTAATGATTAATAAATGTTTAATAATAATTTTCAATATTTGTTTATACAAAGTATATAATTAATATAAGCAAAATTTATTTACTAACTTTATTAATTTGTTAATATTAATTACATTGTATAGGTTTTTATTAGAAATTTATCATTTGAGTTGACATAACCTCAAAATTTGATAAAGATATTTGAAAGTACCGAAAGTAATCAAATTTATCACTTCGTAAAAAATAATTTACGATGGAAGATAAGAAAATATCAACTTACCAAGTCTAATTAAAATATACTCATTACTTTCCAGTAATTTTAATAATAAAACACATTTTTTATTTGCTCTTTTAAGGGGGTCACCCCATGTGTCGGACGTTGTTTTAAAAGTTTTTTGGATTTTCTTTTTAAGAACCATATGAAAACTTAGGACTTCAAAATTTTTACCATTTATTTAGTAATATTTTAACATTTTAAAATTAATATAAATATCTACTTTCCCAGGACAAAAATACAGGTCCAGACTATTGCAGGAGCCGTCGATAAAATCCGAAAATCCCGAAAATTACAAAAATGATTCACACAATTTGGACCAATCAGGCGCGTTGGGTAGCATTGAGGAGACAGAGGAAAACAATATCAACAATGTTGAAACAACAGAAATTTGTTCCTTTAATTCTAGTCTCTCTAAATCACTACCGGAAATTCTCGCCGAAAAAAGTGCATTAGGTTATTTTATTCAATACATGGATTCAAAGAATAGTGTGAATCTTATCAAATTTTGGCTCGAAATTGAATGCCTCTGTGGAGCGTCATCATTTAATGATAACAATGAACTGCAGAATAATTGCAACATTAATAATGAACATTTACACAGTATTTCCAATGAAATTAATGAAATTAATAATAGTCGTCTACTATCGTCTAATTCAGAAACTAATGATAATTTAATTCTTGATACAACAAATTCCTATAATAATGTGAAAAAATTAAATGCAAAAGAGCCAAAGAATTCAATGTTAATTGCTGAGAATAAATCAAATTATTATGATGAAAATAATTCTTGTACAGCGTCAACTGTACGGCAAGATGCGCAGAAAATATATAAAAAATACATTGCCAAGGAATTATTAGATTCGAATTTATTTTCGGATGAATTATTAATGGAAATGAAGGAGATGATTGAGTGTGAGAATGCTGAACCTTTATTGGCTTGTTTATCATTGGCTCAGAAGTGTGTTTATAAAATATTGGAAGACGAGTAAGAAATACTATAAATTAAAAATTATATTTACAATTTACTTCACATAGACTTCTATTTCTAATTCTATTTTTATATTTTTTTAGGTATTTAAACGATTTTTTGAAGAGCGAATATCATTGTAAGCATCAAATTGATGTATTGACCAGTGGAAATGTACAATTAGCTGATATTCTCTACAACGAAACTGCTTTCTTTTATTTTATGGAGGTAAGAATAATAATTTCTTTTTTTCTTTTAGAAAAACTGGTATACAATTTTTTTATGTTTCAGTTCATGGAAGTTGAGAATAAACGAAATCTTCTTGATTTCTGGATGTCGGTTGTGAATTATAAACAGAATTTAGTGGAAAAGGGAAGTTCCGCTGATCCATGTGAAGCACAAACGGATGCTGTGATTATTTACGAAAAGTGAGCACATACAAAATTTCTTACAATTGTATAATTTAAATTTAAATTTAACTGTATTTTTCAAATTTTATTTTTTTAAAACTAAGATTCATTTTGCTTTTAAGATACTTTAGCTTACAAGCAACCATGCCATTGGGATTTAACGACAAGGTACGCTTTCAAGTCGAACAAAATATATGTCGTGAGGATGGAAAAGGACCACAACCTGATTGCTTTGATCTTCCTTGTAAACTTGTATACAACTTTTTAAAAAAGGTTCAAATTTATTTACTAACTCCTCTTTTTTTTCACTATTTGCAAAAATTATATAAATAATATTTGCAAATTATAAAATTCTCTCTTTTGTTTCAGAATTATTTACCTGCCTTTCTATCGTCACAACTATACTATAAGTACCTTTCTGAACTTATTAATAATCTTCAGAGTAGTTCATGTACAAATCAACACAGGATCTTGAAGAGAGCAGGTATAGACATTAACTTCTTTAAAAAAAAATAATAGTACTGCTATTATTTTTTATTTAGAAGTTAGGGAATTCACTGTGTCACAATAAAGACAGTGATACGAAGGAGGAAAAAGAAATAATGAATAAAACTGAACAAGATTTCGATGAATTTAAAAAAAAAGGGTGAAAATGAAATAACGAATAAAACTGAACAAGATTTCGATGAATTTAAAAAAAAGGGTGAAAAAGAAATAATGAATAAAACTGAACAAGATTTCGATGAATTTAAAAAAAGAGTGTGACAATTGTTGCAACTCGAAAGAAAAATTCTTTCATAAAAGAATTTCTATTACCAAAGTATTCTTAAAGTATTCAAGAACGTCCCATAGTTTCTTTTTATTTATATATTTTTTTTATTTAATTTCTGACCCATTATTTTTAAGCTAATTATCAAAAAAAAGATTTAGATAATATTAAAGTTTTAAAATACTGTTTTTTAAATTACTTTGCAGAAAACAATTGTTAAATATGATAGATTTTTGACATTTCATACAGAAATTTAAATAACTTATTTTCAATTATTAAATACTTTAATTAACGGCAAAACATAGATTTAGTCTTTAAAAATAAATTTAAATCGGGTTTTAAAATTTTTTAAAGTAATTACTTTCTTTTTATTCTTAGTCAAGTTGTTATTTTTTATTAAAAACATTTGACCCGCTACCAAAATTTTCTGAAATTATTTAAGAACATTCCATGATTTCTTTTTATATTTTTTAATTTAATTTCTGTCCCATCGCTAAAATTTTCTGAAATTATTCAAGAATGTCACGTAATTTTCTTAAATAAAATTAGTCTATCATTTTAAAATTAATATTTACTAAATCTTTTCGGAATGAAGAATATCTTTTTTCAAAATAAGCCAAACTGTTCTATTCTATTTTTAAAAAAATATGTTATTAACAAATAAATTTTTCTTCAAGAATCTGATTGTGGAAGTGAAGCGAGTAGTTTAAGTATTCAAGTTCAAACTTCGAGTCAAAAAAGTTTAGAAGAACAAAAACGATCAAAAAATAAAAAATCTATGAACGGAAGTATGAGTATTGATACAAAACAGCTCTACGATCCAGATTCACTTTGGAGAAGAAAAAAAAGAAGGTGAGCTAGTTTTCAAACTCAGTTCTTTAAACTCTTTAATTTTTCCACTTTTCTTAAAATAAATTTCTCTTTTAAAATTTTGTTTTATAATTTTTTATAATTTTAAATATTTAAAAATATTCTTTTGCAGTTTAAGTGTTGGGTATGTAGATAGTATGGGACGATTTATTACCGAAATAGAATCTCATCGAAAAAATGAAAGAGAATCTCGTTTATCGCGTGCTGTGAAAAGATTAGTAAACATGGAGCAAGATAAGGTAAAAAAAATTACAAATAATTAGTTTTTATTTTTTTTTTTCACTCCTTAAGTGCCAATAGTGAAGATTTCGACTATCAAACCTTTGCCATGGCACTTAATTTAAAATTTTTTCAAAAAAAAAATTAAATTTTGTCTCAATTAACAGGCTAAGGAAGAATTAGCGTGGAAAATCGCGGAAATGATTATTCGAGAGATTACAACGTTAACTCTAGGGACATCTGATCTTCCGTCTTGATAAAATCTATCCTATAAGAAGAATTCTGCTTCTATTTTTTTTTTACTTTTTTAAAATTCCTCGAATTCTATTTTTTGGAATTTATTTTTGAAATGGTGCCAAAAACTGAAGCAAGGCAATTCAATTTTTAATTCTCCGTTGGGTACGTATTTTTTTAAGTGATAATTTTTACCATTTTCTTTGTGTTCGTTTTTTCTATTTTTTAAAAATGGACTTTTAAAAGTCTATTCATTAAGATAATTATATTCATTTAAGAAATTAAAATTTAAGTTTCTCTCACAATCAGTAAAATATACTGACAAATGATACGTAATATTTTTTTTATACATTGAATTTTATTTTGAAACGCATACAAAGCGTACTTTGTAAGTTCCTCTAAAATGAGATTGTTCCGTAATTGATGAAAATAATTGTGATTTTAAAAAAAAAGTTTTCAATAATTTTTGAAAACGAAAAAAATAGTAGTTTTAAGTGTTTTACGAGACATTTAAAAATGTCCATTTCAATTGAATCTCGAATATTTTTGTGAAAATAAAAAGACATAATATTTAGAAACATAATGAAGAGCTTAGCACATGACAGGAAAAATCTTTCACGTTTGAAAGGCAAAAAAAAAAGAATTTAAATAAGTAAATGTTTTAAATATTTGTTTACTAAAATTCTAAAACTAAATTCTTCGCCCTCTAATTTATATTTTCAATTTAAGAATATTTTTACTTCCGTTATTAAATAAATAAAGAAAAGAGATCTGAGAAAATTGTGGCCTATATAAACATAATCGTATTCTATACATAATATTGTAATATATTGTGATTTCATATAAAAACGACGATCAAAATATAAATCTTAATCTATCGATTTTTAGAATATTCATATAAACATAAGAGAAATAGTTTGTACAAGAGTATTAAAAAAAAATATCTTTTCTAGCACCTTAAATTTTAGAAATTAAGGTTCTCTGTTAAAAAAGAAATTATTCGAGATTAAGTGTTTAAAGGAACTATTTTTTTAAAGAATTTTTCGAACGGTGCTATATTTTAAGAGTATAGTTTGTAATAAAAACAAAATAATGAAATTATTAAAAAAAAAAAAATGGTATTGAATTTTAAATATGAAAAAATTGTCTTATTCGAGAATAAATCTCAATACCGTAGAATAAAATTAATAAAATTAATAAAATTAATAAAATTAAAAATAAGCGAATAATAATAAATTTAAAATGAACGAATAATAAATTAAAAATAAACAAATACTATATTTAAAGTAAACAAATACTAAATTAAAAATAAATAAAAGTAAAGTTAAAATAAACAAAAAGTAAAAAATACATATAAATAATAAATTCAGAATTTTAATCCATAGAAATATATTAGAAATAATTTATTAATTCGATGAACAATAGTCATTTTAGATGTACAAAATAATTTACCATATACTTTTGTATATATAATGTGTAAATTTCGTTTTCTTTATTAACAAATAAAGAGTATATATAATCATTGGACTTTCGTTTATTAAAGTAGAAAAAATTTATAAAATTTACATTTTCGAAATTTGTAAAATTTGTAAAATTTAAAAAATTTAAAAAATTTAAAAAATTTATAAAATTACAAAATTACAAATCATTTTACAAACATTTATTAAAGACTATAATGTAATAAGCTTATGAAACTGGAAATTCATGTATATGTGTCAGTAATGAGTAAGAGCAAAAGTGAGTGGTTGAAGGCTGTTATATTAGATAGAATCCAACGTATGAATCTGTGAATTATTCGCAATTGAGCGAAACAATAAGTTTAGAGTGTGAAAAAATGGGATTCGTTCTGAAGAATTTTGGATTGCTTTTAATTTTTACTTTCTTCATTACGAGCATAAAATCGGGTAAGTTCTTTTTGTTAATAATAAAATTCTAATTAATGTAACTTAATAGAAAAAAATTTTATTATTTATTTATTTATTATTCTGTTTTATTTTCTAGATTATTGGTCAAATTTCAATAAACAAATTGAAAATATTGTAGCACAGGCCACAGAACAAGGAAGATTAATTCAAGAAAATGCGCACAAAATTGTTGCTGAAGCAGGAAATGATGAGAGTCTACATAGAATTCCAAGTAAGGGGAACTTTTTATTTAAACAATTTGACAAATTTGTATTTTCAAAATGCTTTTCATCTGCGAGACAACAAACGAAACTGATGTGATACATTTAAAAATTAATAAAAATTTTCAAATTCAAGGTTCATGATAACCTATTTTTGAAAAAAGGTGTCCAATCAATAGACTGTAAGATTTTTTTAAATTTTGAAGTAATCTTTGAGACAATTGCATTCTCTTTCTAATCATGACGATTAAATACAATCTTTTCTTTTTTTATAATTACTTTTTATGTGTATTATGATGATTCTAATTTTAGAGGAAAACAAATTTTTAATATAATATTTGATTTACAGACAGGCAAGATGAAATTTTAAAAATAGTGGAACTAATAGAGAATGGAACACCTCCAGCTGATGTGAATTCGAATACAACTTCTCTTTCTACGGTATGTATAATGAAAATTAATAAAATTTATTAAATTAATAAAATTAAAAACTAAGTTTCAATGTAAAAAAAAATTTTTCCACAGAATATCAATGGTAGAATTATAACAATAAAAGATACAATTTACTCCAGTGGAAATGAAAAGGAGGGTGCAATTCATAATGTTAAATCTACCTATGATGAAGCGAAAAAAATCGATTTGTCGATAAATACTATCTTATGGGACCAGAATGGATTGAGGAAGTATTTTATTAACGATGGTGGTTCACAAGTTATCAGCACGAATGGCAATGCCAAAATTTTTATAAACAATTAACAATTATTTTCATAAAAGTATGTTTTACTAACTTCAGTCCAGTCATGAAAATAAAAATTCAATGAAAATCAGCTTAAATTTATATAATTTGTCTGAGTTATTAAAATAATTAATGAGTAGAGGTCCCAAAAAAATTCCAAATTTAAATAAATTTATAATTTTAAAATAAATCAATTTTAAAAGGTTTCGTGAAAATTCCTTTTTCTTCACAAAAGATATAAGAAAAAGAAAATGATGTTTATTATATACTATGCAAGTAAAAAAAAATACTGATTTAACTCTTCTCGTGAGTTATATTCAAATAGTTTTCGTTTATTTAGATGAATTTAGCAAAAATTTATATATATTTGAAATCAAAAGCAGTAATTATAATCTATTTTTAATGATTTATACTGAGTTTTCGTAAAATCGGTTATTTGAGACTATGTATAACCAGTTAGAAATTTAAAAAAATTATTTTAAAGAATGCGTAAAATATATATTTAGTGCCATAAACCACTAAAATATAATCCAATTGCATTGAAGAATATTATATATTTACAACATTTTTTAAAATCATCGAGCAACCAGTTCTAGACGGTTTTCATTGGAATGACCCAAGAAGACTAGAAACAGTCTTCTTGGAATGACCCCACATTCCGCTATTCTTTCACTTTGATAATTTTTATTAATAAAAAACTAAACACTTTATCGAAAAAGAAGATTTATTTATTATTCGTTAAAAAGAGGAAATAAATAATTTTATAAAAGTAAGGTTTTCTGATATTTAACGTTGATCTATAAATTGTTTTTATATTTAATTTATTACTTATTTGAAAAGACCGCTTTAAAAATGACATATTTTCCTCGTCCGTGAAATGGAAAACGATTAGCCAATAAGAAATTTCCATTAGATTGATTTCCATTGAATCGAAAGTTGCTATTGGCTAACGTTTTCTGTTTTCACGTTGCTATGGGAATGTGAAAGTAATTATATTATTATTAATTTTTAATTTTCAGATTCATCCCTAGTGAGTATTTAAATTCATCGGTAAGCGGATAACTTGTTTCGAAAAATGTATTCATTTCAAGGTTATGCAGGACTTCCAGTGGATCCAGAGTCTCCAGAGGACAAAATGTGCCAAAATGTTTCAAGGTATGAAAAACGATAAAATTTTTATTGCATGGTAAATAAAAAATAGTTTAGTATAGAATAAGAATAAAATAGTATAAAAAAAAAGTCCCGTCAGTGTTAACAAATTCAAATTCCCCTATATTTCGCGCGTGTGCGCAGTACAGAATGCGCGTAATCCAAAACGAAAGTACGTCCCTCTGCTGGTAGAAATCGAAAGTTTCTATTCTTCGAGATTTTAATAAAAACGAGCGCAGAAGCGTGTAGTACGGCGCCAGGTACGGTTGTTGTGTTATTGTTTCCCTTATATATTGAAAAAGTTCGAAAAAAAATATTAACTGAATGCACGTTGACTAGTAAAGCGGTTAAACTCTTTCCCTTTTGTCCTTTTTTCTATTATAAAAATAACCTCTCAAGTGTTCCGCACATGACAGTGTAATAAACAAGTGTTTGTGACAAGTTTTTTTGCAATAGCTGAAACCGAAAGGATTTGTTTTTCTTTTTTGGGTAAGTAAATTTACATTTTTATTTGTTAAAAAAAAAACAAGAAAACATTTGTATATAAAGAAAGTGTAGAATTTTCGTGAAAGTATTCTTTATAATCTAAAATAATCTCCATTTATTCGTGTTGAGAAGACTCGCCTTTTTCATGATCATGCGTAAAATCTCATCTTCCCATAACATCTTGGACCAAAATTTTCCGTTTATTCAAATGCGTCTCAATTTAAAAAAAAGTGGTAATTTTCTTTTCGAGAGGCTTGAGAATAAACGGATGTTGTGAATTGTATTATGTCAAACCCCCCTGTGTACTTTATGAGAGCACGTCAAGTGTCTTCCGGAGATGTAAATAAAATCTTCTAAATGAGATTTGAGAGAGAGAGAAAGAGCGAGAGGTAAAAACGGTTTCATGGTGAGAGGGAATAAAAACACTTTCATCTTCTTTTGTTATCCGTTCTTTTTTTGTTTTTTTCCAAATATATTTCCAACATTTTAATTTTAGGTTAGGAAAGTATGACTTTGAAAATTTTTTTCTAAATTGATTACTGTTGATTTTTTATTGAAACATTTACGCACTTTATCCCAAAACATTGCTTTGGCATTTTTTAAGGTTATGTTAAGGAGTGAAAATTTGGTGTCATTTCTGTTTAAAGGGGCTTTGACTCATACGGTTTTATCTGTGGGGTTTTGTCATGTAGAACGATAATTACATTTTTCTTTGATAAGATAATTTTTGTTAGTTTTAATGTTGCAATAAAAGTATTCCTTAAATAAGAAAGAAGTAAGAATTTATGTTGTATTTTTTCTAAATTTTCTTGTTGATAAACATATTGAGGATAATAAATAGTTGATAAGCATTTAATATGGGGTCTAACAAAAGGGAAAAATAATATTTTAAGGACTCGAAGGTTATAAAAAAGTGCACCAAATCTTATAATTTGGCCAAGTGCTCTTGATGATTTTTTAATGACCTGATCAATATGAAAGTTATAATTTAGAGCAGAGTTAATATAAATTGAAAAAAGGTATTTAATGAATATTAATTAATTAGAAATTTCAAATCAATTAATGCTTAAAATTAAGAAAGATTCAAATATATATATTTTATGCTTATAAATTTATATAATTCAAATTTTTTTTATTTAAAAAATGGAATTTTTGTATTTATTAAGACTTTTCTATAGAATAGCCGATACGATCTTTGAATTTAGAAATAGATGAACTATTTTTTGCTTTAAATTTATGTACGAGAGTCTGGATTTTGTTAGAAAGTAAATTAACTTTCATAAGTGATCGAAGCTATTTGTCAGACTCGAGTACAAACTATGTATACAGATGAGCACCAGAATTTATTTATTTCTAATATTAATTGAAGGGTGCGCTGTAACAAAGCGTTAAACACCAATTTTGTCAATATTGACTTAGCAAGAATTGAAAAAATATATTTTTATTTACTTATTCGGTTAAAGTTCCTAGGGCTAACAAGCCCTTCAAAGAACAGTACAGAGTTGTACATTTTGATATGTATATCTATAAAAAACGATAATAACAATAATATATATTATAAAAGATGTTTAATACAATGCTAATACTAATATAATCAGTTTATGGTTTGTTAAATAAAACTTTGAATTCCTTTTGCTTAAAATATTCTCAACAAATTACCCACTTCCCAAATGTTCTGAATAGCGTCCGAGAGCTATCTGGAATTTCTTTATTCAGATATCGAGAAAAAATCGAGAATTGAGGTTAATTATTTAGTTTAATATCGTTTTGAAGAATTTTTGAATTTTTAATGTGTTTTAGGCAGAAATACTGTTCTAAATTAATTTTTAAAGAGAAATTTAGTAGTTTTCGAAAAAAGTTTAGGTGCGTAATTTAAGTGAGATTTTAGATAAAAAATAAGCAGTTCCTAATTTTTTTTTAGTAAGTTCGTTAAACTCTTGGTGCACATGGCGGCGAATTTTTGTGTTTTAATGCAGTTGTGTAATTTTAATCCGAGGAATTGCGATGTGTATATATATTTTGAAGATAGCCACACACGTGGAGTCCTGAATTGTTCGTCTGTTAGTTTTGGCTCACGAGTTGTATTATTCTGAGTAGTACGTGATGAGTTTTGAAAATGAATACACCTGAAAATTCAAAGGTGCAATCACACGTGATCTGAATGTGACCCTTTTATCGAGACTCATTTGGTCATTACCCAGGTTGTCCTTATGTAGATTACATCCACATTATTATCTCTCTTTCTCTCTCGTACTAAATTGTTTCGAGTCAGTTATTTCTAGTTTAATATTCTTGCACTTACTCTGTGCGTCATTGAAGAATACTACATATACTTATATTATTTAGCTGTAAAAAATCTCGAGGACCATTTTATAAAATTTTTATTCCCGTAACCAAAAACCTGAAATGTTTATGTCGATTTTTATATTTTAGTCTTTAATTTCAAAACAAAAATAAATGAATAATAAAGTTTATAATTTTTTTTAGAAATATATAACTTATTGCGTTAGGAATATGTTAATAAGAGTTTTATTATAATTTAGTTTCATCACAATAATAAAAAGGACAGAGTCAAGGTTGTTTTAATAACTTAATTCGTGAACTCTTTGAGTTATTAATTAAAGACGATATACATATATTTAAAACTGGGTCGCTGACCAGCTTAATTTAATAAATTTGCTTTCGCGAAGAGCCTAATTAGTCATCAAAATGTTTTCACTCTCTTCCAAGTGACTAAGCGCGGGACTAAATTCGAATAAAAACTCCTACGCGCAGACACAATTAGTGCAATTATATTATTCAAGTAATATACATTGATGAGAGTAACAAAACGAAGTCTCATATTCCAATTAATTCAACTTTTTGTCTTATATACTTGACCGGATGTTGTTTTTTTTAAGAATATAAATGTATAAGAGAAATATTTTCTCCTCTCCAATAAGCGCCAAACTTTGTACGTTTTTTTTTATTGTTTGAGTTTCACTTTTCCTGCGCTTCACTTTTTATTCTGAAAAATTGTTTCTTTTCACGACTAAAATTGTTTTCGACACACTAACTTCAGGAACCTTTTTTTTTAAACAAAGTTTGTTTAAAATATTTATTTGAAAAAGTATAGTTTAAAGGTATTTGGCTCCCATAACACCAGAAACGTTTTCTTAAATAAGGTTTGTTTAAAATATTTATTTGAAAAAGTAGTTTAAAGATATTTGGCTCTCATGGCATCAGAAACGTATTTTTAAACAAAGTTTTTTAAAAATATTTATTTAAAAAAGAAGTTTAAAGGTATTTGGCTCCCATATAAATATTATTAGTAGAAAATTACTAATTTAATTTAGTAAATAATTTTTATTTAAATTAAATAATTTTTAAGTTTAAACAATTTTTGAAAAAATTAGAAACCGATAATTTTAGAATTCAAAGCAAATACAATTTATTTGACTTAAAATCTATTCGATACAAATAAATAT